CACACTATTGTTTCTGGACTGTACTACGGGTAAAAACAACAAATAACATACACATATATGGTATTGCTGCGATCGTCAAGAGCTGGAGAATTTATTTTGGGTTGTTCTATGGAGGTAGGTTATGGTCATAACAAGAAACACACAGCTAAAATTAAAAAAAAACTATTTTTTTTTACTATTTTGGGCCAGTTTTCCTTTGATAATAAAACAAAAATTAGAAGCTATCCATTACCATTTACCACCAAATGAAAGCCCAATTTCTCCTGAACAAACCAAGGTATAATCCATCTCGATGTACAAAGTAGTTGTGATGATATGTACGGTTTTACTATCACGTCAACGTTGCAGAATTGTGCTTAGGCATTTAGATTTGTTTTACCCTTAGGCGTGAAGGGGTTAATCTGTGTTCCCCATTTGGTGTATATATTGTATATAGTATTTGTTTAGTTAGGCTTTTTGTTACTCTGTTAGGTTGCTAGTTAGATTGTTTTGTCATTGGGGTATAGTTCACCTGTATCTTTAGGTGTGCTTGTAAAAAATCTCATTTAAAGTGTTACTAAACCCCGGACCCCGCATTCACTATATTCGGTCTCCCCAGACCCCGCATTCACTATATTCGGTCTTCCCAGACCCCGCATTCAATATATTTGCTCTCCCCGGACCCCGCATTCACTATATCCGCTCTCCCCGGACCCAGCATTCAATATATCCGATCTCCCCGGACCCCGCATTCAATAAATCCGGTCTCCCCGGACCCCGCATTCAATATATCCGCTCTCCCCGGATCCCGCATTCACTATATCCGCTCTCCCCGGACCCGGCATTCACTATTTCCGCTCTCCCCGGACCCCGCATTCACTATATCCGCTCTCCCCGGACCCCGCATTCACTATATCCGCTCTCCCCGGACCCCGCATCCAGTATATCCGCTCTCCCCGGACCCCGCATTCACTATATCCGCTTTCCCCGGACCCCGCATCCAGTATATCCGCTCTCCCCGGACCCCGCATTCACTATATCCGCTCTCCCCGGACCCCGCATTCACTATATCCGTTCTCCCCGGACTCCGCATTCACGATATCTGCTCTCCCCGGACCCCGCATTCACTATATCCGTTCTCCCCAGACCCCGCATTCACTATATCCGCTCTCCCTGGACCCCGCATTCAATATATCCGCTCTCCCCGGATCCCGCATTCACTATATCTGCTCTCCCCGGACCCCGCATTCACTATTTCCGCTCTCCCCGGGCCCCGCATTCACTATATCCACTATCCCCGGACTCCGCATTCACTATATGCGCTCTCCCCGGACCCTGAATTCACTATATCCGCTCTCCCCGGACCCAGCATTCAATATATCTGATCTCCCTGGACCCCGCATTCAATAAATCCGGTCTCCCCGGACCCCGCATTCAATATATCCACTCTCCCCGGATCCCGCATTCACTATATCCACTCTCCCCGGACCCGGCATTCACTATTTCCGCTCTCCCCGGACCCCGCATTCACTATATCCGCTCTCCCCGGACCCCGCATTCACTATATCCGCTCTCCCCAGACCCCGCATCCAGTATATCCACTCTCCCCGGACCCCGCATTCACTATATCCGCTTTCCCCGGACCCCGCATCCAGTATATCCGCTCTCCCCGGACCCCGCATTCAATATATCCGCTCTCCCCGGATCCCGCATTCACTATATCTGCTCTCCCCGGACCCCGCATTCACTATTTCCGCTCTCCCCGGGCCCCGCATTCACTATATCCACTATCCCCGGACTCCGCATTCACTATATGCGCTCTCCCCGGACCCTGAATTCACTATATCCGCTCTCCCTGGACTCTGCATTCACTATATCTGGTCTCCCACAGTACACAGAACATGGAAATGCAATTATTTTAGTAAATATAAACTGCTAAATACCTTTCCTCATCAGCAGTATATAGCAGTCTTGCGACTTGTGTCAGTATTCAACAGAGTACTGGTTAAAGCTTGTAGGAGTTTTCATTTTGCTCTAGAAGGATGCAGGACCCCTGATCTCTATCTAGAAAGTGCTGATTAGTCCTGTGCTGATCACATGCACTCTCCCAAGAAAAAAAAAACCCTCTAGCAATACACACCAAACTGAGCATGTGCAGTGTCTCCACCCGATATGTCTTATCAGGAGTTAAGAGGGGGACACTGGAAGAAGGGGGGGATCAGAGAGGACACGATCAAACAGCCTTTTTACACAATGCAGAGGATTAACCCCTTTGGTTCCACAGTGAGTATAACAAGCATGCTTTACTGCACATACAGACTGAATTTATTGTTGTGGGTTTAAGGCGTACACAGTCTGGTCTCAGTATCCTAAGTGTAGCAACACAGATTTGCAGGAGATAGAAAGGTGAGATTCAGAGAAAGCTGGGAGAAATGGGATAAGTTCAAAGAGGAATTTAAAGAAAGATAGGGAGTAGATAAGAAAGGAAGAAAGAGAAGGGAGCCTGGAGAGCGAAGAGTAAAGAAGTGGAGCGAGGAGAGAAGAGGGAAAATATCAGGGAACAGAGGGGGGTGAGGGGGGTGGGCGGGTACTGTATACTGTTGAAATTTTTTTTATAACGATGTAATGTGACTTATTGAAAATTAATAAAATATTTATAAAAAAAAAAAAAAGATAGATATACACACAACAACAGGATAATAAAGATCTTTATTGAACTTTGGTGCGATGGAGTAACCAGTCCAGTATCACCATAAAGGTCCGGTACTCCTTTCATGATTGATGAGATCTAGACACACAGGGGGTTATTTACTAAAGCTGGAGTGGCAAACATGGTGCAGCTGTGCATAGAAACCAATCAACTTCCAGGTTTTATTGTCAAAGCTCAACCTCTTCCCATCCGGCCCATGATCGGCAGCACTCCCGTCTGGCCCATGATTGGCAGCACTTGCATCCGGCCCATGATCGGCAGCACTCCGGCCCATGATCGGCAGCACTCCCGTCCGGCTGTTTATCGACATGGGCCGGATGAGAGTGCTGCCGATGTGGGTGGACGTTTCTAAATGTCCCCCAGCATCCATTGCCTGTGCGCGATCAGTGCCGATCAGAACACCGATCATCGTACGGGACCTCTGTCCGAGGTCCTGATCATGTGATCACTAATTGGCCAATCAGTGATCACATGCAGAGTAGTAAGCAAGATGTCACTTCTGACATCATTGCTTACTACGTGTGAAATCACATCGTACAGGGCCATTCACAGCAGCCTTGTACCATGTGACAAGCTGTGACCAATCACAGCTCTCACAGTATTTTTCAATGGCTGCAAGAATGCAGCCAGAGAGAAGGAGAAATGATTGCTTTTACAGCCTTTATTGGTGTAAAAGTAATCAGTGTAAAAAAAAAAAAAATCTTCATCACCCCCACAAGTAGTACAGTGTCACCATGGTGACACTGTACTGCTAGGGTGACAGTATGTAAAAAAAACAAAAAACCATAAATAATAATACAAACATTTTTTTAAAAAATTATAATTTTTGGTTATAAACTAATTTGGGTTATTTTTTTTGTTACTTAAAAGATAACGGAATACATTTTGGGCAAGATTTATGATGAAATATTATTTATTTGCAAAATTTTATAAGAAAAACACTTTTTTTCAAAATTTTTGGACCTTTTCATTTACATAGAAAAAAAAAAAAAAAAAATCCCAGTGGTGAAAAAATACCACCAAAATAAAGCTTTATCGGTCTCAAAAAAATGCTAAAAAATGCATATACAGTGTTGCATGACTGCACAATTGTCATTCAAAGTGTGATAGCGCTGAAAGCTGAAAATTGGCCTGGGCAGGAAGAGGGTGAAAGTGTCCGGACTTGAAGTGGTTAATGAGCTGTACTGCTAGGGAGGGTGACAGTATGTTAAAAAAAAAAAATAATATATAAAAAAAAAAATAAAAATGTAATTTTTTTTCTAAAAATTAGAGTTTTTGGTTATAAACTAATTTAGGTTATTTTTTTTTTTTACTAAAAAGCTAGATTTTGGCCAAGATTTATGCAGAAAGATTCATAAGAAAGGCATGGACAGGAAGTGGGTGGTTAAAGTAGTTAATGAGCTGTACTGCTAGTGAGGGTGACAGTATGTTAAAAAAAAAAACATAAATAATAATAAAAAAAAAAATAAAAATGTTAAATTTTGTAAGAAAAACTTTTTTTTCAAAATGTTTGGACTTTTTCATTTATATAGCAAAAAAATTAAAATCCCAGTGGTGAATAAATACCACCAAAATAAAGTTTTATCCGTCTCAAAAAAATGCTACAAATTTCATATGGGTAGTGTTGCATGACCACGCAATTGTCATTCAAAGTGTGATAGCGCTGAAAGCTGAAAATTGGTCTGGACAGGAAGGGGGTGGTTGAAGTGGTTAATGAGCTGTACTGCTGGGGGGGGGGGGGGGGGTGACAGTATGTTTAAAAAAAAAAACAAATAATAATATTAATAAGAAAAAAAAAAAAAAAAAAAAAATGTAAAATTTTATAAGAAAGACTCTTTTTTGAAAGCTGAAAATTGGCCTGGACAAGAAGGGGTGGTTGAAGTGGTTAATGAGCTGTACTGCTAGGGGGGGTGACAGTATGTTAAAAAAAAAAAACATAAATAATAATATAAAGAAAAAAATAAAAATGTAACATTTTTTGAAAGCTAAAAATTGGCCTGGACAGGAAGGAGGTGAAAGCGTCCGGACTTGAAGTGGTTAATTGAACAAGCTGAAGTTAGAAGCTGATTGGCTGCCATGCACAGCGGCACCAGATTCTGAGTGCTCCAGTTTTAGTAAATATTCCTCAAAATATTTTCTGACCCCCTAACAGGAATACGACTACTCTCCGGCGTGTACACATCGATGCCTGAGCAGGGATCTTTTCCAGGAAAAGGAGCTTCCACATTCTGTACACGAGTACGGCTTCACTCCCGTGTGAGTCCTTTGGTGTGCGCTGCGATTTTGCGTGGTGGAGAAACACCTCCCGCACTCAGTGCAGGGAAACGGCTTTTCCCCCGTGTGACATCTCTGGTGAATAGTGAGACTCATTTTGTGGGGAAAACATTTTCCGCACTCGGGGCACGAAAACGGCTTTTCCCCCGTGTGCACAGGCTGATGTTTGATCAAGGCGCGTTTGGTGGCAAAGCATTTCCCACATTCAGAACATGAAAACGGCTTCAATCCGGTGTGAGTCCTCTGGTGCATCACTGCAGCCGATTTCTGCCGGAAGCATTTCCCGCACTCAGGACACGAATACGGTTTCTCCCCAGAATGGGTCCTCTGATGTTTAATGAGAATGGTCCTCAGGCAGAAAGACTTCCCACATTCTGCACATGTATGTGGCTTCTCCCCCGTGTCAGCTCTTTGGTGTCTTATAAGAGATGCTTTGGAATTATAACTTTTCCCACATTCGGTACAAGAAAATGGTTTCATTCTGCTTTGATGTTCACTAAGAACTTTTCTCGAGGAGGGGGAACAGGACGATGTTTTTCCAGCTCTACCAACTGTTTGACGTGTTGTCTGGGGGAGATCCGTAAAACACTCCCCTTGGGTAGAAGGACCAGATGACAGATCTGCACCACGACGTGTTGGATGGAAATTTAGGGTATTGGGGTTTTCTTCTAAAAAATCTGATGTAATGTCATTTTCTGTTTTAGTGTATGTTAGAATTACGGGACTCTTTCTCATGTTACAGTTCATGAACCGTCTGTCTGCATGATAGAAGAAGTGGAAACAATTAACTTGTGTAATTAAAACAGCAGGAAATGAAGACATATCATTAGCTATACCAAGAACAAGGATTCACAATTTTACATGATGTGAATTATGAGCCAAATAATCACTTCTATAAAAAATGTCTAAAAATTAGGGATGCACTGAAATTTCGGCCATTGAACCATATCGTCCAAAAATAGCTTTATCAGCATTTTGCCGATAGGAAACATTTTGCCGATACAGGGGACTGTGTGTACTGCAGATGTGAGGGTGGGGAGGGCGGCGGCAGACAAAAGGCAGGAGAGGAGCAGTGTATACAGTGACTGGCTGTCACTATATTTCAGTGCCAGTTTTTAAATGCAATTGCCAGGTTTTTTTTTTCTTCACTATAGCTCAGAGAATCAGTCACTTTCCCCGAGCTAAAAGAAACAAAGTTTCTTTCTCGAGCTAAAAGAAACAAAGTTTATTTTCCTAGCTAAATGAAACCAAGTTACTTTCCCGAGCTAAAAGAAACCAAGTTTCTTTCCCGAGCTAAAAGAAACAAAGTTTATTTTCCAAGCTAAAAGAAACTGTTTCATTCCCGAGCTAAAAGAAACAAAGTTTCTTTTCCAAGCTAAAAGAAACAAGTTTATTTTCCGAGCTAAAAGAAACCAAGTTTCTTTCCCGAACTAAAAGAAACCAAGTTTCTTTTCCCGAGCTAAAAGAAACAAGTTTCTTTCCCGAGCTAAAAGAAACCAAGTTTCTTTTCGAGCTAAAAGAAACAAAGTTTATTTTCCGAGCTAAAAGAAACAGTTTATTTCCTGAGCTAAAAGAAACAAAGTTTCTTTTCCGAGCTAAAAGAAACTGTTTCTTTCCCGAGCTAAAAAAGAAACAAAGTTTCTTTCCCCGAGCTAAAAGAAACAAAGTTTCTTTCCCGAGCTAAAAGAAACAAAGTTTCTTTCCCGAGCTAAAAGAAACAAAGTTTCTTTTCCCGAGCTAAAAGAAACAAAGTTTCTTTCCCGAGCTAAAAGAAACCAAGTTTCTTTTTCGAGCTAAAAGAAACAAAGTTTAATTTTCCGAGCTAAAAGAAACAGTTTATTTCCCGAGCTAAAAGAAACAAAGTTTCTTTCCCGAGCTAAAAGAAACCAAGCTCTTTCCCGAGCTAAAAGAAACCAAGTTCTTTCCCGAGCTAAAAGAAAACCAAGTTTCTTTCCCAAACTAAAAGAAACCAAGTTTCTTTCCCAAGCTAAAAGAAACCTAGTTTATTTCCCGAGCTAAAAGAAACCAAGTTTCTTTTCCGAGCTAAAAGAAACCAAGTTTCTTTCCTGAGCTAAAAGAAACCAAGTTTCTTTCCCGAGCTAAAAGAAACCAAGTTTCTTTCCCGAGCTAAAAGAAACCAAGTTTCTTTCCCGAGCTAAAAGAAACCAAGTTTCTTTCCCGAGCTAAAAGAAACCAAGTTTCTTTTTCGAGCTAAAAGAAACAAAGTTTATTTTCCGAGCTAAAAGAAACAGTTTATTTCCTGAGCTAAAAGAAACAAAGTTTATTTTCCGAGCTAAAAGAAACTGTTTCTTTCCCGAGCTAAAAGAAACAAAGTTTTCTTTTCCAAGCTAAAAGAAACCAAGTTTCTTTCCCGAGCTAAAAGAAACTAAGTTTCTTTCCCGAGCTAAAAGAAACCAAGTTTCTTTTTTGAGCTAAAAGAAACAAAGTTTATTTTCCGAGCTAAAAGAAACAGTTTATTTCCCGAGCTAAAAGAAACAAAGTTTCTTTCCCGACCTAAAAGAAACCAAGTTCTTTCCCGAGCTAAAAAGAAACCAAGTTCTTTCCCGAGCTAAAAGAAACCAAGTTTCTTTCCCGACCTAAAAGGAAACCAAGTTTCTTTCCCAAACTAAAAGAAACCAAGTTTATTTCCCGAGCTAAAAGAAACCAAGTTTCTTTTCCAAGCTAAAAGAAACAAAGTTTCCTTTAGTTCCGGGGAAAGTGACAGCTATGGTGAAAGAAAAAAAAAAAAAAAAAGCCGTCAATTGCATTTAAAAACCGTCACTGGCATGTAGTGACAGCCAGTGAGAGAGCCTCTCTGTATACACTGCTACCTCACTGTATACACTGCTCCTCTCCTTGCACACACTGCCCCCCCCTCCCCCCTACAAAGAGGACCTGTCACTTATATGCTATCAAATAGGGGACTATTGGTCCCCTATGTGATAGCAATAAAATCATAAGTTAAAAAAATAAAAATAAATTATATCTATACATGAAAGTAGAAAACAAATTGGAGCCTCCCCACCCCGACATAAGCTGACATTTCAGTTTCGGTTTGGTTTTCGGCCACATGCATTCTGAATTTTCGGTATCGGTTTTAGCACCAGAATTTTCATTTCGCTGCATGACTACTAAAAATCTTTGTTTATGATATAAAACTCTGATTTACCCCTCAAGGAATGCTCTTATTTTATGAAATGTTTCTTTATTTAGACTTTATTACTCACCTGTGCTGATCTCTACAGGAACTTCTTCCTCTTTAATCCTCGCATGTTCTTCTTCCTCCTCCTCAGCTTTGAGGTCTCTCGGAGTCTCTCTGGTGTCTCCGGGGATCTGTGAATAAAGAGGAGAGTGAAGCCCCCTGTACTGAGATGTATGAGAGACCCCAGAGAGTGTGTGTGGGGGGAGACTGGTCATGTCTCAATGACATGATGTGAGAAGGAGAGCCGAAGTCTAATAGAGGCTGATGGCTCCTGACCCCCCACTGGGTACATACTGTCCCCCCATTACTGTCTACTGACAGAGGAGGGGGGAGAAGAAGAGATTGTTGTAGTGACTGAACAAGGAGGATCTGGGACTCTTCTCTGGATTTAGTGTACATTCCTCACCTGTGCTGATCTCTGGAGGACCTTCCTCCTCTTCAATTTTCACATTCCCCTCTTCCTCAGCTTTGACATCTCTCTGAGTCTCTCTGGTGTCTCCGGGGTCTGTGAATAAAGAGGAGAGTGAAGCCCCCTGTACTGAGATGTATGAGAGACCCCAAAAAGTGTGTGTGGGGGGAGACTGGTCATTTCTGGTAACACACAATGACATGATTTTGGGAGGAGAGCTGGAGTGTAAGGCAGGCCCGGTAATTTTGTGCAACCAGTGGGTTGAATGAAAATAAGTGACCCAACTCTCCCATCCAAGCATTCGATGTGGATGGGGGAATCCTCTGGGCTTCTTGTATTCTGACAGCAGGAAGACTTCCCCACCATCAGAATACACCGATCAGCGTTGCAGTCTGTAGCATGCGATACTGATGGAGAGGAAATTTTCCAACAGGGCAGTTATTCAGAATTCGATCGGTAGATCAACTTCTGTTCAACCACAGTGGCCATAGATTGAAAATTCAGGCTAGTCCATGCTAAACCGGCCAAATTTCGATCCATATATGGTCAGCTTAATAGAGGCTGATGGCTCCTGACCCCCCCACTGGACACATACTTTCCCCCCATTACTGTCTACTGAAAAAGGAGGGGGGAGAAGAAGAGATTGTTGTAGTGACTGAACAAGGAGGATCTGGGACTCTTCTCTGGATTTAGTGTTTGTTCCTCGCCTGTGCTGATCTCTGGAGGCATCTCCTCCTCCTTCCATGGGTCATCATCCCAAACATACAAATCTTCTTCTTTCACTTCCACTTTAACTATTACAGCTTCACTCTGAAAAATACAAAATAATTCAGATATTAAATAGATCCTCTCTGCCTTTAAATAAATAATATGTTTGTTGAAATGAAAACTTAATCTACCTGATCCTCCTGAGGGACCTCCTGATGTTCCTGAGTGATCTCCTGATGTTCCTGAGTGGAGTCCCAGGAATACAGAGGACAAGGACATCTCTCTGGTGGGTTCCTATTACTGGATCCATCTGTAGGAAACACACACACTGACTGAACATGTTGAGGGATAACTGTGCCATAATAATGGTGTAGGAAACTGGTGCTAATGGCATGTGCAACATTAACAAAGCAGATAGACCTGGATGGATAGATCTGCTAGATCTACACCACCCACACCATGTTTTATTTAACCACTTCCCACCATTTATGTACATAAATGGCCGGACGGGAGCAGTGAAGGAGCAGGTGGTCGTTTATAAATGTCCTTCCACATTAACTGCTTGTGCGCGCTCCCTAGGACACCGATTGCTGTACGGGACCTCTGTGTTAGGTCCTGATCATGCGATCACTGATTGGCCAATCAGTGATCACATGAACAGTAGTAAACAAGATGTCACTTCCTGACATCATTGCTTACTATGTGTGAAATCTGTGAATGATCACAGAGATCACATGGTACAGTGCTTTTCACAACAGCCTTGTACCATGTGACAAGCTGTGACCAATCACAGCTCTCACAGTATTTTTCAATAGCTGCAAGAATGTAGCCAGAGAGAAGGAGAAATGATTGCTTTTACAGCCTTTATGGGTGTAACAGCAATCAGTGTAAAAAAAAAAAAAAAAATCTTCATCACCCCCACAAGTAGTACAGTGTCACCATGGTGACACTGTACTGTTAGGGTGACAGTATGTTAAAAAAAAACCATAAAATAATAATATTAGAAAAAAAAATGTAAAACAGTTTTTTGAAAAATTATAATTTTTTGTTTTAAACTATATTGTTTTAAATTATTTGGGTAATTTTTTTTTTTATTAAAAAGATAGCTAAATACATTTTGGCCAAGATTTATGAAGAAAGATTATTTATTTGTAAAATGTTATAAGAAAAACACTTTTGTTCAAAATGTT